GCACGAAAAATATCCATGAACTGCTCCCAAGCATCAGCAGCTCTCTGGTCATCAGTGTAAGCCCCAGTCGCCAGTCTCCACCAGTCCTTGGCTCCGGACCTAAGCAAGTTCAGAGCACACCTGACCTTTTGGTCGGTACGACACGAGCAGGTGAAGAAACACCCCTCCACATCTGAAATCCATCTCATAGCCTTGATGGGATCCTGTATCCCATCAAAAGTAGGGGGCTTCGTGTTGTCGAAGTCCCGGTACTGAAAACCCCTACCAACCCCTCCCCCTGTTGTAGATACAACTGATGCAGCTACTGCAACAACTATCTTTGCGAGGACTGTGTAGCGCTCATCAAAATACTCCACCATGGCGATCTTAATCGACCCGAACATCTCTGGCAACTCAGTCTGGAACAACGTAGCAACCTCGTCGTGCAGGATCGCTCGGATCCATCATCCATCTCATCTGGCCGATCGTCTCGGGTGGTATCAGCTCCCCCTGACCACCCTCTCCTGATCCTGATCCTGATCCCGAACCGGATCCAGTCACAAAGCACCTGATTACCAGGCATCAGATAACTCATACAAATAACTGGGGACCAACCCCCGACAAAACCCTAGGGTGTGATTTCCTTGTGACGCGTATGGTTCCTGTGCTTTCAGTAGTATGGGCCCATACTACCTTCCACACCTATCCATATTTCTCCCAAGTATCAGCACAAAGCCCTGACGACACACATAATCACATCGAGCACTCAAACTTCACCCCTAGAAGAAGGCTAAGTACCTCGAAGTCAGTAGACACCTCCCAAACAACCTATCCATTCGTGAAAATTCCACCATCCCTACAGCCTGGACCCTATAGACTTTCGAATATTCAATCCTACCCTAAGCTCCCAATCAAACAAGAACAGAACATAAGGCCAAATCAAACATTCTCAGGCTATAAGATCTTAGTTACGTATAACCGTGATGCCTATACTAGATAACTACAGTAATGATGTCAATTTCACATAAGAGAAACCCAAGGCTAGCAGGCATCATGTAATCAGGCAATTCTACCATGCAATTCCTAAAGATCCCTAGCCTAGTACTAGCATGTTGTTCTATCATATCTCATAGTCAAATAACTATATCGTATTTTGGGGTCTACTTACTGGCTCCGGGTGATCGTACACTTCGCATCCTCACTTAATTATTTTGAAAACCATTTTGAAAATCTTACCTTGATTTGAGACTGTATTCACACAAATGTTGCTCCAATTCACTCAAACCAAGGATCTGATACCAACTTGTAACATCCAAAAAAATTCAAACCAATTTAAACTTTTTATACATATCAAGTTCATCAAAAACATTACAGCTTCGGTTTCAAAACATTAGTCATCAGAGTTTTTCCCAGAAACATAAATATAATAGGAGGAGCTGTACGATCACGCCTTCGCCTTGCCGTGATCCTCTGATATACCTGAAACAATAAACTGAAACTGTAAGCCCAAAAGCTTAGTGAGTGACCCTCAAAATACCAACACACATACAATTCACATATCAATATCAACATTAGCATATCATATCAATAAAATAGAACAGCACATAACGGGTCCTCAGCTCTACAGACTGGAATACCCCTGGGCCCACAATGTGAGTCTGGAATATCTGCCAAGCCCTCAGCTCACATCTGGATTGCCACCAAGCCCTCAGTACCAGTCTGGAATCCCTTCCGGGCCCTCAGCTCGTATCTGGAATGCTCCTGAGTCCTCAGTATGAGTATGGAATGCCTACTGGGCCCTCAGCTCATATCTGGCATACTCGTGAGTCATCAATATGAGTCTGGAATGCCTACCGGGCCCTCAGCTCATATCTGGAATGCTCTAGGGTTTGTTGGTTACCGCATGGAGCAGTACAACCTCAACCCAACCCACATAACATATAATCATAACTACTGGGCATGCAATAATCATATAACATTACAAGTAGTCCTATAGGTCTACCTAACTGGCATAACCACTAGCATGCAACACTAACTCATACTCAACATTTAACACTACTAGGATAACATATCTAATGGGTCGGCCTTGGTGCCTTAGACCCCTTTAGTATAGTGAGGATAACTTACCTCGAAGATGTCAGCTCAGTAAATAATCAAAACTCTTCGATCACTTGTCAAAGACTCCACCACCTATTATCATAATATGACATGCTCATAAGTCCTTCACCTTATAAGGTGCACCATAAACCACTAGTCAACCCCTGGTCATAGTCAAAGTCCCTAATCAGGGTCAACAGTCCATGTTGACCTTAACTCGTCGAGTACACTTGGGTACTCGTCGAGTTCTCTGAAGCACATCCCAACTTGCCGAGTCATCAGAGTGACTCGTCGAGTTCCTTCGAATCGTCGATTAATCCTTAAGGTCACTCATTGAGTTACCTTCTTGAACTCGACGGGCATACACGCAAACGTTTCCTAGTTAAAACTCATCCGACTTGCCTAGTTGTTCTTCAACTCGTCGAGTCTCAGGGCAATGTCCATCGGACTCGCCGAGTTGTTCTTCTAACTCGTCGAGTTCACGACCATCTTCAAGTGACTCGTCGAGTCAACTGTGCGACTCGCCGAGTTCATTTAGTCATTTTATCGTGCAAACGACTTTTAAGCGACGGTAAGGCCCCAAATCGCAAATCCAACCTCCTTAGGCCTGCTTATCACGTAAAGTTACAAACTTTACGTGCATGCAAGGCTCCAATGACTCAAAAAGCCAAAACTATGCTTGAGATGGGGTTTTACACATAGGGAGGGGCTCAAACTTGCCAAAACTAATAACTTTATGGTCCCTTAATTCTCAGAGAGTTTAGATCTAAAGTTACAACTTCAGATCTTGGCTCATACCCTAGAAATGACTTTATAACCCAACCAAGAACCCTAATCTCCAACCAAGGAGGTCTAGAACGATATTGAAAGGGAATAATAGTTGGATACCTTCCCAAGAGATGATAAATGGAATAGATCCGGATTTCCCCCAAGCTCCTTGCTTCCACCAGTTGCTTCCCAAGCTCTTTTCACTGAAATCCCTTCCAAGGCTTCAAACGCACAATACACACACACACACATGTATTAGGGTTTGATAAGAGACTGCAAAGAGGCTGAAAGAGGCTTGTGTTCCCTTAAATAGGGTGCACAACCCCGGGGTTTAGGGTTTTAGCTGCCAGCTCCTACTCGTCGAGTCCCAATATGGACTCGTCGAGTAGGTCACTTAATCATGCGATCCTTCCCGCTGCTGCTCGACGAGTAGATCCACCGACTCGCCGAGTACGGCTTAACCCTAAAACTCGCATTTAGACAATACCTGAGAATTTGGGGTGTTACACCTATGGTGCACATACAATCCTAATGCTTTGGAGCTAAGTTTTCTCTAGTTATGCATGAAAAAAATTTATCCAAAGCATGAAGCCAACAACTAGCATACAATTTGATATTTGAATCATAAAATACTAGTTATAAAATTACCTCCTTTTCGCAGCTTGTTGTATTTAGGCCTTTAAGAACTTAGCACCCCAAGTATGATGTCTCAAACGGTTCACAACACACCATGAACAAATAAAGGAACTTGAGAGAGAGTATGGAGCACAAAAAATCGGTTATAGTTCTTCCTAGAAGACTTAGGTCAACCGATTTTGGCTAAGGGGTAACATATATATAATGTAGGATTCCAATGGTCATGTGTAAACCATAATCCATACACATAGGCTTATGATCATAACTCGAAAGAAATGTTCTAGCAAGATCCTGGAATGCTATACACCTCAAATCATACTACATGTAAGTAGGGTCCGTTAATCGTCAACAAAACTAAGGTACACATGTCCCTTACCTTGAACTTTTCATCATTACTTTCTCCTCAGTTATATTTCTAACTTAAGTATCGTAGGGGCATTAGTTAGACTAACGCCCAACCCTAGCTAACATTTGCTATACAAAACAGTGTACGGTTAAGGATCTCCATAAGCTATGATCCTGAAATGTAAGGATCCTCAAGATTGAAGATCTTGAAACATAATGATCTTAACACGCGAAGATCTCAACATCTTAACACTTAGGAAAGTCCATTATATCAACAGTGTAGTCTTTAAACTACCATATACACAAGCTAGAGTCTGATCATCTCTCCTATGTTTAAGGGTCACTACAAGAAAAAGTTAAACATAGCTACGGAAAAATTCCATAGCTAAAACATGATATTTCATAGCTAAACATTAATAGAGACGGAATTTGCTACAAAACCATTCTATAGTAAAATTTTGCGTTACTAGAGGGTAGTTACGGAATCTGTAGCACGTTTGCTATGGAATTTGCGATAAATTATTCCATAAAAAATTAACCATAGGCTAAATCCATAGCAAATTTGTAACAAATTAACTACAAAAATTATGTCGTAGGTAGTCCGTAGCAAATAAACTACAAATTAAACCGTAACAAATTCACCAATATTCCGTAACAAAATAACTACGTACTAATTTTGCATATATTATATAGCAAAATGCCTACAAATTATTTTCGTATATAGCAAAATGACAACAAATTATTTTTGTAGCAAATGTCATATTGTCCGGTTTCATGACACCTCATAGCAAAAAAAAAATGACGAAATAGATTCCATAACAAAACTCATAGTAATTTAACTATAAATAATTTCGTAGGAAAAATTGGTGGCGAGGACAGATTTATTTGGAAAATACATTCAAAATTAACTCCAAATTATTTTACGGAACTGTTTGCTTAATAAAATCAACAATATGGAAATGCAATAAAGAATAATAAATATTACATAACTCTAAAAAAGAATTACGTCATCCAAACATATTTCATTTTCTCGAAATTGTTAAATGCCAATAAACCTTACTAAAAAATGAAAAAAAAAAAAAACAAAAAAACAAAAAAAACAAAAAAAATTGTTCAATGGCTACAAAGAAAACTATGTAACTAGCCATGACTAATTGAGTTTCTCTTCGGTTGGG